CACTTCTAATATTCAATTTTGCTATCAAAACAATGATTTGATACCAATACTCATTTCTTTTAAGTGTTATACTCTTTAATTATAAGATAAAATATTCGGGGTTGTACGGTGAGCACCATACAATCGGGTGTACAATATACGTACTCGGTATATGCATGTGGGACTTGAGGTGTCAAATTAATAATGCATAATTCCTTTTAGTATTAGAATTTGTATTGTGGAGTAACTACCAGTTAGTTAAGTCATCCTGATTCGTATTCCTGACATCTGGGGCTATAGGTCTGGTAAATTAAACCTGATTACTCCCTCTGTCCCATAGAAAGGTTTTCACTTTTCTTTTTAGAAGTCTCATATAAAGGTCCCCATTTCTATTTTAGGAAAAAGAAATGACAAATTAAAAATATTAAAAATCATTAAATAACAAATTAATCATTAAATATTAAAAATAATACATTTATATAACACCACAATTATCAACACTAACCCCATTATATTGTATACCTATTTAAATTTTTTCTCAAAATGTATTCAAACTACGTACCTTATTTAATTATTGTCTAAATAACCATTTCATTTTGCCATGTGAACCTTTCAACAGGACGGAGGTAGTATAATTTATCCTATGCGTCGTAAGAATGAAGTTCTCACTCATTTTTCTGATCCTACTGAGTAGGATACATGCTCTATAGTATTTGACTATGACTCGACCTGATACTATTTATGTTGTTCACCCGGAGTCTCAATTTATGCATGCACCCCGTACGTACTTCATATTCATATGCCTCTGCTGTTAAGCGTATTTACAAGGGATTGCTAATTTTGGTCTTTTGCTTCAGCCCTCACGCGATCCTTCAGTTATTTTGGCATATTTTGATGTTGACTGGGCTAGATGTCCTCATAGTTGCCGATCCACCATTGGGTATCCTGTTTTCTTGGGCCCCAAATTGGTTTCATGAAAGTCCAAGAAACACCCTATTGTTTCTCATTTCTCCTAAAGTTGAGTATCGTGTAATTGCTTACATGGTTTAGGATACCATTTACATTTTTCATTTAGTGCTTTTTGAGCTAGGTATACCTATTTGTGCACCTGTAAAATTATCGCGTGACATTGTCTACTTCTTATGTTTCGGTTAATCCTATTCAATATGGTCGAGTCTAAGCACATAACATTGATTATCATTTTGTTCGCGAGCGCGTTACGTTGCTCATGGAGATCCTTTGGTTCAGTATGTGCCTAATCAGCTTCAGCTTGCTAACTTTTTTACCAAAAATTTGTATGTTGAGCGTTTTACTTCTCTACGTAGCCATGTGTGCGTAGCTTCCGATCCCCTTGACATATTGAGGGTTGTAATGTACGGAGAATTCCTTTTAAGTATTTGAACTCATATTATAGAGGAACTCTTGTGCATGTAATTGAGATTTATTATTTATATGTATATATGACATCCAACTGATCCAAGGCTGTAACTCTATATATAATAAGTACTCCGTATAATATAAGCCTGATTATTATTTAGATATGGCATACGTAAAATATAAGCCTGATTATTATTTCACACGTACTAATACCATAAGTAATTATCCTAAATGGGAGTAAAACATGAAGAAAGTTTCAAAATAGGAGTTGTTATTAATTAATTCCTTGAATAAGAGTATTTTGTTGATCGGTCCGTTTGTTTTGCCAATTTTACCCTTCTTTACAAATTATTTTGTTTTATGGGAAAACTATCAAATAGGTCCTCAAACTTTCATAAAAAGTCAATTAAGTCCTTCTATATGAGACTCTGTCCGGTCGTCGCGATTTGGGGCGGTTCCCGATGGAATTTTTTGATGATTTTTTTTATCATCTTATTCATCAAGTCTAGTTTACTCATACCAATTTCAGCTAAAAATTTAATCGGGAGTGCATTCAAATTAATTCGAGAACGCAAAAATGCGCAGTTATCTTCAAGAATTAATTTGAATGTGTTCTCGATTGAATTATTAGCTGAAATTTGGTATGAGTAAACTAGACTTGGTGAATAAGATGCTCAAAAAAAATCATCAAAAAATTCTACCGGGAACTGCCGTAAATCGCGACAGCCGGACAGAACCTCCTATAGAAGGACTTAATTGACCTTTTTATGAAAGTTCGAGGACCTATTTGACAGTTTTCCCTTGTTTTATTCTATCAGATTCTTTTCCTTTCTTCACGCAACCTATTTTCAATCATATCCTCTCTCTCCTATCTTCACCGCACAAATCCTCTCCCTTCTCTCATCTCTTTCCTCTACCATTTCTTTCCATTACCCGTCTTCTTCCATCTCCCACTTCTCCATATAGGTTTGAACGTTGAATATTTCTCACCAACTCTGGTCACTGACGACGGCGGTAATCATAGAGATAAGTTTTGATTTTATTCTCCTTCTCTTCCTTCATCTCTTCATCTCCTTCATCTTCTCTTTCTTCTGTCTTCTCTTATTTTGCTTGGGGGCATAGCGTCGTTTTTTGGAGCTTGAAGCAGTTGCTCAATTATCAAACAATCAAAATGATAACATCGGCTTTTTTATTTAATTTTCCCCACTTTCTCCCCTGTTTTGAGATCTGTTTTTTTGTTGATTTCTTTTTTCCATTTTTTTTGTTTTGTCGTTCAATTTTGTTTCATCTTTTGTTATTTTGACATTTTATTTTATATTTTACAATACATACTACAATTTTTTACATTGGATTTCATTCAGTATTTTTGTAATTTCGAGATTATTTTTTGGTTTGAATGTAAAATTGCCATCATCACTATGCCTTCTCCTCCATTAATTTTCTTTCAATCTTTCTTTCAACTTTTTGTTTTTTTTTTAACTTTTTATTTTCATATCAATCAATTTTTTATATTCATCAAATTAGTTTTATATGATTTGAATTCCAAATGTCCATAATTGCTTTTAAATTTAGACATTGAAATGAAAATATTACTCTTTTGCAAATAATGTCATGTTTGTGTGCGTTAACATATTATTTTGACATTTATTGTCATTGTTATGGTACTAAATCTTTCTAGATGGAAAAAACAAGACCAATAATGTCATATTTCTTTCATATCTAAATAAACGTATTTTTTGCACATAGTGCCATTTTATGGCACAAACTATGTAGTGAAGGCAATATTATTTCCCCTGCAAATCTAACATTATTTATACTGTCAATAAAATGATACTAACATTCATATCTTTTTATTATTATATAAATTCTATTAAAAACGATTTTCAAATGGTCAGGTGGTATTATAAATCATTTTTTTTTCAGATTTGAAAGTTGTGATAGTGGATCCAAACTTGGTAGTGGTTCCACAAGAGGTGTGGCGCCGAACTAGGAAGAAGTAGAACGGGATCTGGCAGCGGCAGCTGTGATGTAGATACAGGCGTTGATGACTGCCCAACGGCGGCCAGTGACTAGCGGCGGAGGCACCTGGCAGCTGCGATGCCGAAAAAAATGAGGATAGCGATGGAGATTGCGGCGGCGGCGGCGGCGGCGGTGGCAGCTGCGGCGCCTGTCAGCGGCGGCGGCAAGGGACGACTAGTGACGATGCAGGTCCTGCCCCTGGTCGGGCCGACGTCAACTTATGGTTGGGGTGGGCATGAGGAGAAAATAAGTTGTTGACTTTTGTAGTGTATTAATTATTAGCTTAGTTTTCATTAAGAGCATTCTTGTCTCTTACTATTAATTTCCGGATGACAACTACATGTGAGATAGGAGTCCTATTTTTGCATATTTGATATGTTTTACTCCTAAATTGGGAATTCTCTCCTACTTATTATTTCACAGTACCAGGGACGGATCCAGGATTTCTATTCAAGGGGGGCGAAATTTTTCGGTAGTGTAGGGAGTGAAAACATTTTCGTTAGTGTAGTGGGGCGAAATTTTTTCCCTAGTGTAGCGGGGCAAATTTTTTCCGCTACTATAAAGCTATGCGGCTAATTTTATTCAAAAAAATGACATTAATACATACACATCCCCAACGACATTTAAATCTATGAAGTAGTACATTCTAAGTTTAAATTAGACGATGACAAAGACATCAACCAATACATTTTTAATAACTTCTACATTGTTTAACCTCATAAATCGGTTATTATTGAATTGTAATTTTTGTCCGGCCACCAAGGAGGGTGTTCGTGAGTCATGACTCATGAGAAGTTTTCTTAATATTACAATAGTACGTAGTATGTATGATATTATTATTTTTAGAATAATATGCACCACATACACACACATATATGGTGCATATTATATTTTAATATTTGTATTAATGCTATAATAATTTAAAGTTTATTATCTATGCAATAAATTATTTTTAGAAAGCAAGAAGTAAATGAATTATGTAATTTAATGTCAATAAACATTTATATTTTGGATTCATTTCACGTGATCTAAAAACTGTGTAATTAGTGTGTCTGATATTTAATATTGTTTGATATATATTTTACAAAATCAAGTACTTGTTATCTAATAAAAGTAATTAAACACTACAAAACTAGGAATTCTTATATAATAAGTATCCTAAATCTTAAACAACGAGTTATTCTATTGTTTATTTGTTTAAGTTATGTAATTATTTTAGATGTTCCTTCTTTTAAATCTTCAATTAAGTATTACATTATGTAACACTATATATTAATTTTGAAAATTAAAAGATAAGGGGGGCGAATCTAATTAAATTATGAAAGTTTTATGAAAATATTACATATATGGTAGAAAATTTTGAAAGTCCAAGGGGGCGGTCGCCCCCCCCCTAAATCCATCCCTGTTTCACACGTACTAATACCATCCAAGCCTCTAGCAAATTATTTGTTCTATATGGAGATGTATTATACGTAGTATATTTGAGATCAGACTACTGTTGACCTGTAGTAACGTAGTATGAATTATAATTTTATTGTTTTATCTAGCTAGATTTTTATTGTATATACAAATCTCTATGGTACTGTACATTGAACCAATTCATTAAAAAGTAAAAACTGCAATTCAAGCCCAACCACATACGACCTAATAACAAATTAAAATTTTGAAATATCAATTTGAATAAGTAGAGTACATTGAAATTTGAACGAAGTAGATAAAGTGTATTTGTAAGTGTACATATGCAATCCTTTACGGAGTACGAAGTATATTGAAACGTAAAAGTGAAATAATATATTAATATGTATTGTGCAATATACGGAGTATAATTTATTTTCTCCACAACTCCATCCAGTATGATCGAATGATACAAACAGACCCGGCCATTTTAAAGTTGTGAATTGTTATCACGCTGAGAGGGAACAAATTAAATTAAATTAGTCAATGACATAATCAAGTACTACTTTTGTTCTCTTTTAAATATTAAATTGGACTTTTTTGCAGTATTCGCATCCTCTATTTTGACTTTACTTTATTTATTAATGTATTATAAATTAAAATTTAAAAAATATTGTTAAATTCTTCGCATTTTAAAAATCAATTTTTTTTACTAGAAAGGAGTGAAAGATATTAATGGTCAAACTTGTGCATTGACAAACGTAAAATGTGGATCGTTGTAATTAAAAAAGAACAAGACTACGTAATACTCTGTATTAATTTAAAAATCAAGAAGGAAGTACTACTATACCTAATACTCCGTATAATTTCGAAAATCTTTTTTTCATAAACCCGGCCTGGTTGATGTTGAACCGAAACCTAAAGATGATATGTGGGATCAGATGTTTTAATTAGTTATAAGCAGTTAATTAAAGTGAGATTTACAATTCGATTGTGTTTTATATTGATGTCACTAGCATCCAATTTTTCCGTGAAAGCTGTGATGTCAGATGTAAAAAAAATTTAGTGTAAATCAAATTATTAGTTAGATGACAAAATTTGTAAGAGAGTGAAATGGATAAAAAGAGGCTCAATCAAAAGTTACCCCCACTAAATATACCCCTAAATGTGAGTCCGTTTGGTGATTCTGTTTTTCAACTTGTTGGGTTTATCAGCTAATTTTTTAACCAAACACGTAATTTTTGATTCCGTGCGCTGAATTGTGTAATAATAAGAAGAAAATGTAAGGCTGAAGTTACTTTTCTGGCTACATTGACTGAAATTACTGTAGATGACCATTTTAGCTATTTTCATTTAATTTTTTCTTTATTTTATTAATAAAATATATTTTAAATATAATTCTTTTCATAAATTAGCAGAATCAACCAATGCAGTCACTTCAGCCAGAATTTCATAAATTTCAGCAGAATCAGCCGATTTGAATGTTACCAAACGGGCTATATAACTACCGATAATTTTATTAAGCACGTTACGTGCTCTTTACCGAGCACGTTATACGCTTCATGCCTGGAAAAATACTCCGTATTAGGCTCTATAACTATCGAGTTAAAATATACGAAGTAATATAGTAGTCTAAATATTAGGCAGTTGCATACTTGCATAAGTGATTAACATCAACTTACATATCTTTTATTCAGTGTTTTATTTTTAAAAACAAATTAATAATCCAATTAATTCCTAATCTTATACTCCCCGTTTCATGAAACTTGGTCACATTAGCTTTTTAATATAATGATGACCCAGACTGACTAATGATACTTTTAGAACGAAATTATTTAGAGTATGAAATTTATATAACGTTGTTCTTTATTAAATATATTTTCATAATAACAATATAAAAGTTAAATTTCTCAGAAATATGATAATAGACTTAAACATATCTAGTAATGGAAGACCAAATCAAAACAGACTTAAACATATCATGTGAGATTAGACTAGCAACTTTAAGCCCTATTATTAAAAACATCCCAATTCCTTCACTAAGAATATGGGAGTTTTTTATGATGTTTTTTATTGGTTTGAAATTTTTTAGAACAAATCTATGTTTGGCACCGATAAGTCTCTATCTTCTAGCTTTTGTATTATTTAAAAAGTCTTTAAAAACGTTTAGTTGTATATTTGGCATGCCAGTTTTTAAGAGCTTCCATAAAAATAAAAAATCTTTTTTTAGATGCTACTGTGAGTATCATCTCAGATAAGTCTGTAGCTTTTAGCATCAATTACTCCCAACAGCTTGTATACCAAACAGAACTAATTCAAACAGTCAGTTTTTTATCAAATAGCTACTACCTTTTTCTTTTAAGATCTTATCAGTAACTAAAAGCTAACAGTTACAAAAAGCTCATAAAAACATCTTTTCAGCTAGTTGTGCCAAACATACCCTAAAATCGGAGCACTTCTCACAACTAGGCGGGACTATTCGGCCGTCGGTGCCTAGAGTGATTGGTAGAACAGTGATATTTACTAAAATCATTGCCCAAAATTTATGATCATTGATCTAAAAAACGTCAATTTGGCCAAATTTTATACGATCGAGGGAGTACATATTTGTTACGATAATTTTGATTTACTTTAGGAATTACATACATTGTTTCAATTGAAGTTAAGGTTTTTTACATAATTAAAAAATTTCATATTCTTAGTGCAAGAATCGGGATGTTTTTAATAATGGGTCTGATGTCACCTGGTTTGATCACCGATTACCAGATATAAAACTTATGTCCTAGTCTATTATCATATTTGTTAGAAATTTATTTAATAAAGAATAACCTCATATAATTTTCATACTTTCAATAATTTTGTTCTAAAAATATCATCAGTCACACTTGGCCATCACTAAATAAACCAAGAGTTAATATGACCAAGTTTTATTAATCGAGCGGGTATAAGATTAGGAATTAATTGGATTAATTATATAGTTTAAAAAATAAAACATTGAATTAAAGATTTATCTTTACATACATGTACTTTAGAAAAATATTTGTCTAAGTTGATGCCTCTTATTTGTTCGAGATTTTTCATTTGGGGCGGTACAGCATATGGCGCACAGGAGCATTATACTACTCCGTATTATTTAATTATTTATTTAAACCTAAAGGGAGTATTTTTTTCAGGGCATGAGCCGTATGCCCGTATTTACGTGCTCATTAAAGAGCACGCAACGTGCTTAGTAAATTTTTTTATATAACTACCTCAAGTTTAATATTTACGAATAAATTAAAACTTAGCCGTACTCTTCAAATGTCACATTATTTGGTTGCGCGTTCTTTGGCAATTGTTTCAAAGAGGCTACCATCATAAACTCCTCTTATAGCTTCTTTTGTCAGAAATCCATGCTTGTCTTTGGCTAACAAATAAAACACTTTCCACTCAGAGAATGCAGCAATCCTACGTAACAAAACAAAACAATGCGTAGTAATACAGAATATTATTATACTCCGTATTATATATAATTATATACATTCAGCCAAAAAACTTATAGAAATAAACACTAAAACACCCCAATGTACCCCAATGTACTATAGAGATTCCTACGTAAGATTCTAGAAATAAACACTCCGAATAATTATAAACGTCAGTATTATCGGATGTACGTCATCGATCGAGATCACCGACTGGTTTTCAAATGCTTGATCTGATTAAACTTAGATGTGATTTAGACGCTCTTTGGCAACACTGGTTTTCGGTTTATCAGGCTTATCAGCCAGCTTTTTCACAAAACATGTAACTTTTGTTTTCGCATGCTGAATTGTGTAATAAGCAGAAAAAGTAAGGTAGGAGTTACTTTTCTGGTTACATTGGCTGAAGTTACTGTAGATAACCATTTTAGCTATTTTTACATACTAGTATAATTTTTTCTTTATTTTATTAATAAAATATATTTTAAAAATATTTTTTCTTAACTCAACAGAATCAGCCAATGCAGCCACTTCATCTAGAACTTCATAAATTTCAGCAGGATCAGCCAAAACAGCCGACTTTCGTGCTACCAAACGGGCTCTTAGGTTTTTGTAGTTTATTTGTTGTCCTGAGGTGAAAAGTAATTATAACAGGATTAAACATAAGGGGATAAACTAAATATGAAAAGTGAAACAAAAAATATACTACCTCCGTCCTATAAAACTTTGCCAAGTTTGACTGACACGAGAATTAATAAAGTAAAAATTGTGTGATTGAAATTTGTGGAGAGAAGACACAATTAACTAGAATCACACTTTACTTAAAAGAAAAGTGACAAAATTAGTGAGACATCCAAAAAGAAAAAGTTGACAAAGTTTTAAGGGAAGGATGAAGTACTAAAAATTGAAAAAAAAAAAATTGTGTTAGCTTCAGCCTGCCCTATGTAGATCCTCCCTGATACGAGTTATGTTAATTAGTTGTGGACAAAGTATGATAATTTCATATTAAGTGATTTAAGTGTTGGAATTTCCATCCTAAAAGATCAATAGGAGGAGTCCAATGATACACCCGCATCATGCAGGTGTATCTTAATACACCCGCGCGCATGATGATCACTCGTTGCAACAGACCAACTTTGTACTTTGTGTGCGCATTGTAGAGGCTTACCGGAATCTAATTGTTCATTAGAACTTAAAATACTCTGATTATGATATTAAATCTTGGGATCAGGGGCGGAGCCAGAGCACTGTGCCGGACCGGAACGGTACAAAGAATATTTTTAGAAAAAAAATTTACACGAAATCTTTTACCTTAAAAATTAAGTCATTTTAAAATTTGGGGTGGGTCAGGGTCTAGATTGACGCACCCTAGCTCCGCCCATGCTTGGGGTTGCATTGTAAACTGTTGTTTAATACCTTATATATAAATTGGTTTGCATTTTTATATGCAACTGATGTAGAACAATTCAATAATATACGAAGTAATTAACATTAATATAAGGAAATAATTTATACTCGTAGTATGTTTGATCACTATGTGAAGAGTGAGTCCATGACCAATTGTACGTATTACCGCTTCTTCATATTTAGTGTTTTTATATTATAAATAATTGGTGTTAGAAATGAAAAAGTGACCTACCCTCCCATAAAGTCGTTAGGCTTCTTGGTTTCCTTGAGCATTTGATCCAAGTCCTTCGATGTGAAACCATTTGCACTTGATCGTGCGTGTTTTTTGAAAAATTCCTCAAACTTTGACAAAACAAACCTAAAAGAGGCACATCGTGTATACATTAAGCTAACGCTAAAATACTAAATGATCAGAATATTTTATTACTATAATGTAGTACTAAAATAATAATAATAATATCATTATATCAATAATAATAATAATAATCAATAACCAATATATATAAGAGAAATTGTTCGAGAGCATGCATATAATGCGCCACATAGGAATAGCATGTTATTATTATATACTATCGTATATACTATTACTATTAATTCAATTATTCTTTGAGATATGCTAGGAAACAAAATCTTGTAAAATATTACCACTACAGTAGTTAGTTTTTAATTTTCTCAAATCAGTAAAAAAGTCATTGTTGTAGTGGCGTGTGATCAAAAGTGTGCCGCACATATATTAAGAAAATGAAAATTGTGTGACAGATAATCATTTAGATAAAAGAAGAATACTATACGAAATAAATCACAAATTCTTTATCATAAAAAATGAAAATTATTTTGGAATTTGGAATGAACTAAAGTGAGGATGTAAATAATTATGAAATGAACAAATTCTTTACCGTGTCATTGTTTGAGTTTGTAACTTTAATTTGTATTTATAATGATTACCTTCCTTCTGAATCCAATACGCCTGAGTCACTAGCGCGTTTCGCAAATTTGATATTTTTCACCTCAATCGGGAAGAGAGGAGATGGCCATTTGCCCTACAGTAATGTATGTATCACTACGTATGATAAATTGCTTTAAACAAGAGTAAAAAAATAGGAAAAGATGTGCAAATTATAATTAATTACTACATACTCCTATGTTTTATTTTCAAAATAAGGCATTTTCAATCTTATTAAAAGTATAAAATTTCCTCATTTAGAATGAAACAAAAACATATTCTTGAAAAAAACAATGATAATCTTTATTTTATCTGTATTTCAGTTCTATTTAATTTCTAGAGTTTATTATAGCTAGGGTATTAGTAAAAAGTATCTACTGCACAAGTTTTATTTTCCATTGAGAAATGAAAATAACTATGGAATTAAATAATGGTTGAGCCTATGAAGTCTGAGATTTTTGCAAAGGCACCAGTCGGCCAGATTGTAAACATAGTAGTTGGTGAAATTAAGTTAGAAAATTCCGCCCATTGCATATACTAGTATATAGCATTATAGCTTTTGCACAAACATGCATATATGAGATATGATCATGTTAGGTAGGTTTGACCGGAAATGCGTCCGGTCACCTCTATTTGAGGTGTTTCCACATTTTGATGATATTTTGTGATATATTCTTCATTAACTGTAGATTATGTCCATCAAAATGTTATTTAAAGTTCAATAAAAAAAGTTAGTTAAGTAAATCAATAAATCATTATAAAATATTGCGCTTTTTATATACATTTTGGCACAACGTTCTTCAATAATTTACGGAGTATTTAATTGACTTAGCGATTAAATTTTTAAGGCTAAAGGGTCAAATAGGCCCTCGAACTAACTTAAAAAGTGCAAATCACCCTTTATATAGAAGGCTCTGTCCGGCCACCGCCATTTGGGGCGGTTCCCGATGGAAGTTTTTGCGAATCTTCTTCATTAAGTCTAGTTTATTCATACCAAATTTAAGCTAAAAACTCAATCGAGAAGGCAATCTAATGAATGTTTGAAGATAATTGCACAGTTAAACAGCGTAGTACATTTCAGAAAATCATTTGAATGTCTTCCCGGTTGAATTGATATATGAAATTTGGTATGGGTAAATTAGACTTAATGAAGAATATGCTCCAAAATTTTCAACAAAAAATTCTACCGGGAACCTCCCCAGATGGCGGCAGCCGGACAGAGCCTCCTATATAAGGGGGATTTGCACTTTTTAAGTTAGCTCGAGGGCATATTTGACCCTTTAGCCAATTTTTAATCGAGACTTGGTGGACTTAATCTTCACTTCACAAGGCACATGATCATAAAAAAATCCACGCGAAAACACTTCAAATGTAAGTGGTCAGAGGGTAAATAGTGTGAACATCGAATAAGATGTTTTCTGGTATCCGGGCCAATAAGCCAACCAGTGTGAATAAACAGATGGATAATTCTAAATGCAGCTATGTTTTTACTATGCAAAGCCATATATATACAAAATAAATTCGTTTAAACAAATGGATTCTGTTGAAATCTCATACCGGAAAATTATGAAGTAACAAAGTGCTATATTAAAATCTGGGTTAGTCCTCCTATCGAATTAAAGAAACCTCGCCCGAATATTCTCCGCTGGTTCGGATGAGAGGAGCCTTATGTCTGTCTCTTCGAACAGGGAGTTACATCATCCGATCCGCCGTATGGGTCAATAAAATCATCAAAATGAGAAGCATGGGTAAGGAAGACGGCGAGAGTATGATATAGGGATATATTAGGCATTCTATTTATATTTTGTTAATTAATTTTAATTAAAGGCTATGAATGTGGGACTGTATTTAGATTAAAATTTTAATTAAAGGCTAATTTTAATTTTAGGGTGACATGCTAAAAGAAGAGTCGGTCTTTGGGGGGGGGGGGGGGGGGGGCAACAGGGGTGAAGGCTCTAGTCTCGAAAATATAGAAAGATAAAAATAGGCCAAATTTTTTCTGCACATATAGTGTAAGTAGGCTTCTTTGTATTTTTGAATTCAATTAATTAGGCCTTATGTCTATTTTTTGTTGACAATTTGAAAAAAAAAATATAGAATATAAGTAAAATGTCTTAAATGAAGCCAAGTTTAAAAAAAGAATATACATTAATTTTAAGTACGACCCGTCGAATCAATAAAAGACATGTTTTTTTCATACTTCACATCTCTTTAACTTTTAATGCCTTTATTTTATGACCTTCACTAGATTTTTTATTTATCATTATTAGACATTTTTGTTAGAATTCATATTTCACATATGTATAATTTACTATTTATCTTGAATATAAGCCTAATATAGTAAATCGCCCATACGCCGACAAATAGACATGATCGACCCTGTCTATCAGCCAAACAATATCCCCAATATTGGGATGGAGGTTCTACTCCCTCCGTATCAAATTACTTGACCCACTTTCTTTTTTTGGGGTATCAAATTAATTGACCCCTTTCCCTTTTTGGAAAGAATCCCACTCAAAAAGCAGCTACAGTACTGCTACAGTACCGCTACAGTGTCGCTACAGTACCAAAAACCTCTTACTTTTAATAAAGTCTACAATAATTATCTTAAACTGCGTGAAAAGCAAATGGGTCAATTAAATTGATACGGAGGGAGTATATATTTTTAGAACCTCTATACCGGCCTCTCTACCCTCATATTCAGATCTGGATTCTCTGCCTTGCTATGGCAGCAAGGTACGGTGCGTGGCTTTAATAAACCCACAGCCCTTAACCTGCACGGGTAGCTCAGTTGGTCGAGTGGTGGTAAATTTGGAACTATGACCAAGGTTCGAATCCCCGCAGCGACCGGGGTAGAGGTCACAGAACCTGAAATAAGGCTGAGCCTCTGGTGCGCACGGGTGTATGGGCCTATTACCACTCTACTGACTGAGTCACCGTGACTTACATCCTCCCATGTGCTCTGTCGGGTCAGGGCGTGGGGGGCCCTTGGGGTTGGGGATTCAACCTTTTGGAACTAATAAACCCACAGCCTCTCCTCCCCTCTGTCCCTGCCGTGGGATGCCGTGCGGGCGTGCGGCATCCAAATCCCTCATACTCCTTGTCAGTTTTTAAATGAGTTATTTCCCGGGGAGGGGTACTTTGAAATCTTATTTCCCAAAATATGGTACTTTTAAAGTTATTTCCCGAGAAGGGGTGCTTTTCCCAGTCAGCGTGCCATGTCAGCGCCGAAATTAAATCTATTTCCACGTCAATTATTCCGCCACATCACAGGACCCACGTCATCTCATAGGGATGCTTCATTAAAAAAATCAAGCTCCTAGGATTCGAACTCACGCCATTCATTAAAAATAAAGATCATCAGACCAATACACTACATTCATTTCATATGTCGGTTTGACATTAAATCATATATTATTATTACTAATATTATACCAGGATCTTTAATTAAAACTAAACCCTTCTTCATTTTAATTACATCTGTTCCTCTTTTGCGACCATCGCGATAACCAGCATCGGCTTTGCGAGATTCAATCGGCACTAGTGCACCAGCAGTTCACCATCCGGCGCTGGCTTCGCACGTTCCACCGGCCGCTCCATCACCGCACCAAACGCCTCCACTTATTGGTTAGTCTCTCCTTTCATGGCAATTAAACATGATATTAAACTTAAAAATAGCAATTTGTTGATTTTATGCTTGGATTTTCGAGTATGTATGACCCCTGGCTGAGTTTTGGGCAAAATAGTATTTGGTTCATTATCACAACTTCAAGTTTAGCACTGAACTTTTGATTAAATTTGTATTTCTATACTTCGGGAAAAACCGCAATTGTAGCCTATATTCTAATATGATATACGGATTAGCTCTGTTCAAATGTTCAGTACCATCTTGTTTTGTTGATTTTAATGTCTGCTATAGTGGTATTAGGTGAGTTATATTTGTATATAACAATAAGTTCATGCCTGCAATACAAGAAACGATTTGTTGTGATTTAAGTTAACTAAATATTATATGAGTTTTATTATTAGGTAGTCTTATGTTCATTCGTGTAGTACTGCTGTCATTTTTTTAGATGAGTTTCATTATTAGTTTAATGTGATAAATTTTCTCTATTAACTACTTCAGGTTGGTAATATTTTTCTGCAATGCATTCTGAAGAACAAAGCATTAACATAAATGCAGTCCAAGAAATGATTTATTCTGAAAGCGATGCTATGTTTTTTGATATGAATGTTGACAATAATGAGGCAGTTGATACAGAAGGATGTATAGAACTGGATGGAGATTATGAGACAAACAGTGAGGATGATGAGGAAAACATCAAGGAAAGTGAAGATGGAGAGAGTGACAAGGGGGAGGAGAAAAGTGGAGAGGCAATTCCCTTCTTTAAGAATATTGAAGATATTAATGAAGATGTGACTAGTAACTGGTCATTATTACAGCCGACTAGTGAGTGGACTCCAAGTGCTGAGCTAAAAAAAGGGTTAATTTTTAAGGATAAGGCTGAATTGAAAAGAGCTGTGCAGCTTTACACTCTTAAGAGGCACCGCGCATGTATGAAGTTGTTGAATCGAAGAAAGATATGTAGTCATTGAAATGTAAGAAACAAAAGGAAGGTAGCTGCGGTTGGAGGCTACGGGCTTGCAAGCGCAAATCCCATCAGTTTTTTGAAATCACTAAATATGATGGCCCACATCAATGTGTGTATAAATGTTTGAGTCGTGATCACCCATTGTTAGACTCGAACTTGTTGGCACGAGAAGTTGAAAATCAAGTCAAAGTAGAGCCTTCTATTACAGTGGCAGCCCTAAAAGAGATTTCCAAAGGTAAGTTCTCTTATGATGCCTCATGCAAAACAAAAGGCAATACAAACTGTGTTTGGTGATTGGGAAAAATCCTATAAGTTTTTGCCCAAATTTATTTCTGCACTTGAGAAAAGTAATGAAATGATTGTGGTGTGCCAGTTTGAAAAGATGCAAGATCCAAATTTGGGAATTTTTCAGCGTATTTTTTGGACTTTTCCACAATCTGTTGAGGGGTTCAAATATTGTAGACCAATAATTAGTATTGATGGAACCCATTTGTATGGGAGGTACAAAGGGAAAATGTTGATAGTTATGGGTGTTGACGGAAATAATCAATTATTTCCTCTATCATTTGCTATTGTTGAGGAAGAATCTTTTGATAGTTGGAGATGGTTTCTTAGTTGTATTCGAGAGAGAGTAACTCAACGCCAAGGAATTTGTTTGATTTCTGATCGTCATAAGGGGATTAGTGCTGCAGTAAATGATCCTTATTCTATGTGGCATGAACCTTGGGGTTATCATCGATACTGCTTGCGACATTATTTATATTTGCTACTAATTTTTTATAACGTGGAATTCAAAATGGCTAATGATATAATGTGGAAATATATCAAAGTGGTGAAATTTGAAATGTCTATTTTTTCATAACTTGGAAATTTTCTTTGAACTTCATTGACTTTATATTATCGGAGAATAATTAAGTATATTTGAAAACACTAGGATAACAAGTTAGCATCTTGGTTCAGTGGTTGAAGTGTGTAGCTGTGGAGTGTAGAGGGCTGGGTTCGGCTCTCCCTCATGACACAATTTTATTTTTATATATGACACATGTGATGACATGTCTTTGTGACGTGGCTGATAAATGAATTCGAAATGGAATTTAATTTCGGTGCTGACATGGCACGCTGACTGGTAAAAAACACCCCTTCTCGAGAAATAAGTTTAAAAGTATCCTATTTTGGGAAATAGGATACAAAGTACCCCGGAAATAACTCGTTTTTAAATGTCATCATCTCTTCTAAAATGTTTCACAATGATATCGCTGGTCCCAAAAGTCGAGGTCGGGACCTATTTGGAAATAAGAGTTTCTAACATAAAAACTCCAAAATAATGTATGCATATAAAATAAAAAAAGATTACAGGATATCTACAAATCATGAGCTAGGGGCCGGTATGTAGTAATCTCAGATAAGAGAAATTGGTATATTTATTAAAACTAAACTAAGCAAAATAAATAATTAGAATTCAGAGACTTTAAGGGCATGTTTATTAACATAGATATTTTCTAGTTCTCCAGAAAACTGGAAAACAGAAAACAGGAAACGTGTTTACGAAATAAATTGCTGGAAAGCTGGACAAAGGAAAAAAGAAAAACGCGTTTACCAATTCGTTTTCCAAAACGGAAAAAATGAGATATGTCTCTCTTTTCTTTAATGATTTGAAAAAGTGACTTTTACTAGTTTTCCAAATTTGGAAAATGCAAATGCTCCAGTGCCGCTGCAATGAATTTGCATACTTACACCTAGTGGTGGGTCCGGTCCCGCTCCGATGTCGATTCCATTCCAGTACCTCCATCCTCGTACATTACCCCTTACCCTACCCCTACCCACCCAACCCAACCCCGCGTACCCATTTTTCCCGATAATGATCCTACCCCACCCCCTACCACATGCCCCTACCTCGGCCCCACCCCCGATCCACCCTACCCTACCGCCACCCCTACCACCTCGACCCCACCCTGACCCACCCTACCCTACCCCCGTATATTACCCCTTACCACATGCCCCTACCTCGGCCCCACCTCACCGACATCCTACCCTCACCCTCGTACCGCCATCTTACCCCCACCACCATCCTACCCCCCACCCTACCCTTCCCCTACCTCGGCCCAACCCGGATCCCGGGCCCACCCTACCACCATCCTATCCCAACTCCCTACCCCTACCTTACCCCAACCCCAACCACTACCCCCACCCTTAACCGTCATCCTACCCCTACCCCTACCCTACCTCGGCCCCACCCTGGTCCCGGCCTCACCCTACCGCCATCTTATCTCAACTCCCTACCCCTACCTTACCCCAACCCTACCCACTACCCCACCCTTACCCCTAACCACGGCCCTAACCCACCCACTACCCCCACCCAACCCCCAACCCCTAGACTTTACCACCCCACCCCGACCATACCCCTTTACCCCACCCCCACCCATAACTTTCCTACCCCAACCCCTACGAGTAGGTATGGGTGGGTATGAAGGGTTGTGGGGGAGTATGGGTAGAGTGTAAGATCGTGATAAGGGTAGGGGTCAAGGGTGTGGAATTGGAGAACTGAGTGAAAAAATTGATGAACATGTTTTCAGATTTGAAAATGGAAAACTAAAAAATAGAAACAGAAAATTGGAGATAGAAAAACTGAAAAATTAAAACAGAAAATTGGAGAAGGAAAAACAGAAGTAGAAAACAGAAAATATCTAAACAAGCCCTAAAGTTTTACTATATTTATGCCAACATCAATTATGTCATCCTTAAAAAGTAAATTTACCGGTCGAGTCTTCTTACTGAGCCCAATATTAATAAACAAGGCTGCAAAAGTTGATAGTGGGATCCCAAATCCAAGTATTCTAAAACCTGTAAGGAAATAACTAGAAAAATTAAATATTAACAATTAATCATATTATATATACGGGATTTTCTAAAAATTATTACTGAAAAAAATATGATTAATATAATTGATTAAAGTTACGATTAATGTGTATAGGTCTTGAATTCAGCAAATACGCCCAAATATTTGAGAGCATGTAAGTTGAACCCCAAATATTACCAAAATGCGGTATGAGACAAACTTGATAAAATTTTATGATTTGATCTGGTTTGACTTTGTCTATTTAAATCTGATCTAGTTTAATCTGATATGGTAGGTGTAATAGATATTTGATCTATGTGCATATTATCATTATCGAAATTTTGATATGATCTGATTTGTTTATGTGTGATCTCATTCAAATAGAAGTATGGTTTATCGTCGATTCGTCGTGGAGTACACACACTTATACATAGAATATTACTCGAAATAGGACTAAAAAGTTATGAAAATTCCTAAATAGGACTGCCATGTTTTTATTCCCAAAATAGGACTAATTACTGTCATGTTTTGGCGGTACTAGACTTCAAACATGACAGTATTTTCCAAACATGACAGTAATTACTCCTATTATAGGAATAAAAAACATGACAATCCTATTTTGGAATTTTCAAACGGTTTTAGTCCTATTTCGGGAACTTTCCCATTTATACATATTCGATCTTGGTGGAACTGTGGAAGAATGATTCTTAAAAACTATTTGTTCCAAAAACACGGCAAAAAAACAAAAGATAATACTCCCTTCTTCTCCCTATTTTATTCCATTTTACCTTTCTCATCCACTTCACCAAGTTTGTCTCATACCACATTTTGGTAATATTTGGATGATTACAATCTAATCTTCTTGTATTCACATTTTACCAATTTAATATCAATTATACAAATTTACTTTTGTTAATAATCCAACTAAGCATGTCATTCTTGTCTCAATATAAAAATTTACTTTTGTTAATAATCCAACTAAGAGATCCTTCTTGTCTCAATATGGGGTTAGATTGAAGCCTAGGGTAACTTACTTTTTTCCCAATTTTTAGTGTAAATTTTTCATTTTTTCATATTTAGCTCATCCCGCTAACGCGTAGTACAATTCATTTTCAGCCCATGCCAACCCAAATTCGAGGAGTATTAGTTAATGGATCAAATTAAAAGTTAAAGTTTCGTGTGTCCAGTAATATTTTCTTTACAATTATTTTTTAGATGAATCTAGTCATAACTATTTTTACAAACCATAAAGCAAAAAAACAATAATACTCGTAGTAAATAATGAAACCTTGATACGTTTCCCATGGATAAACAATTCCATCTTGGTTGATATCAAAAAACATTACATGCTTTTGCAGAGCAGGGAGCTGATCACAAGGATTTCCTGTTCCTGCACGCCAATCATATTTTGGAAAATAATAAATTCTTGAACCCATTTTTAAATGCTTTCAAGAATATTATATTAAGGCAACAATCCGATATACTACGTAATTAATTAGCATGCATACTATACCGTCATGGCAAACAGGGGTGGTATTCAAGGAAGAAGAAGAACCTCCAGTCATGGCTGCTTTTTTATTCCCAAACGAAGAAGAAATGTAACTATTTATGAGTATTATACGAGTATTTTCTGAACGTTTAGCCGTTGTGGGTTGTGATTTGATCCCATATGGTGTTATATAAGCAAAAGGCCAGATTATTGCGTGGAGAACACAACCCCAATATTTTAATATATAGAAGTGCAATGTTCCATCCACCCCATTATGATATGTGGATTGTGGGACAGTGTGCACACACCTTAAATAATGTTTATGTTTTTTAATAATCATAACACTTTCACCAACTGAATTTACTTAATTAAATTGATCAAATTCTCGCTAAAATAATTGGAAAAGTTGAATCATTGAAAAATTATATTTAAAATATATTTTTTAAACCCCGAAGACAAATCACCAAAATTAGTGGAGTAAATGTCGGAGAATATTTATCAAGTTTTATTAAAAGATTAAAAGTACACAATGAGAGGGAGACTAGACAAAAAAAACCGAGTAATTGTTCAGTAAACAAGTATTCTATCCATAATGGTATATTGAGAAGAAAGGGAAAGATTGTTATTGGAAATGATTACACATTGAAAAATAAGATTTTGAATTGGTCACCACACCTAATTGGGAGAAGCAGGGCATTTAGGAAGGGATGCAACTTTAAGGAGAATCAAGAGTCAAGACATTGTTTTATTGGAAGGGTCTTAACAAGAAGGTTAGCAAATATATAAGAGAATGCTTAGTTTCTCAAGCAAACAAGCATGAAAATGTAGCTTATCCAGGCATGTTGTAACCTTTACCCATTCCAGGAGAAGTTTGGGTAGACATTTCCTTAAACTTCATCACTGGATTACCAAAATCACAAGGGAAGGATTTAATATTGATAGTTGTGGACAAACTTAGTAAAGGGGCTCATTTTGTGGCTCTTTCACACCCCTTTACTGCAATTAAAGTAGTTCAAGTTTATTTGGATAATATTTTTATTTATTTATGAAAAAGTTCTCGATCTTTTTGTCATTATTTCTTGTTTGATTAAATATAGCAATTTTATCAATTCTGGGACTGGAAGATAGATTCACTATCAATAAGAGATACAAAGATAATACTTCATATGTTCTTAAATAAAGAAATAATTACATATTTATGACTAAAATGAAAACTGTTTACCAAAATGTGATTAGTGACTAGAGTAGTAATGAAATCACAGTAACTTATGTACAATTGTTAAACATAAGTTACTATGACACTACATTGCAGTAACTAATAGTCACATTTATGAAAATAAGTTTTATTTTAGTAACGTTTTTGTAAAAAATCCTTAAATAAATGCAACGGTCAACATTTCACATTTGCCGAGGCACAACTTTGACCATTGATATATATAGTTCTATATTAGTAACAAAATTAAAAAAAAAACGAATTTTGAAAATTTACAGTGAGACAAATTTAACACTATTTTTTTCAAAATAATATATTAATACATGAATAAATAAAACGTAGTCAAAAGGAACATGTGAATAATGTAAATTTTAACATGTTGCATATATTTAAGATCGAACGGAGGTAGTATGTGTCAGTATAGGATCCCAATGATTAAAACTACTAACTCAGTCCTCCTAAGATTGAAACAAAGGAAGGTGAGGTCGATTTTTAAGGAGGGTTATGTGGTTGATAGTAAATCGATAAAATTATTATAAAGTACGAATGAATTAGATTGATGATAGTTTTCAATCATACAGATATTATATTGACACATTATATCGTTAATAGGGATGGGTTCGGTTCTTGCGGTTCGGTTTTGACCTAAAATCAAATATAGAACCAAAGTAAAAAGTTCGGTTCGGTTTTACACTCCAAAACTTGGAACCACGGTTTGATTGGTTTGGTTTGTTTCGGTTCGTTTTCGTTTTTTTCGGTTTTTTACCAAAAAATTGTCATTTGATTTAAAATTGATATAAGGATCAAATATATTACGTAAAGAATACAAGAACACTACAACAAATAATATAAAAGAGAAGAAATGAATGTGTCTTGATTATATGAGTATGCGAGAGAGATAAAAGTGTATAAATTATTAATATACATTGTTTGTGACCACGTCGAAAAAAGTTTATTATATACGTAGTATGTGCTATGTGTTATAGTTGAGATGAACATTTATTGTTTCACCAATATATATAATCCTTAAGTTACATAAAAATAAAAGTGTTAAGAAAAAATTACATAAATATAACTACTCTAAACCCTGCTAACAAAAGTATGACTATTTACCCTATTTTTACTCGCATGTTGCCGTCTGAGTTCCTCATTAATAGCTATATTTTTGTAACACCAAATACTTTTGGTAATATTCATGTAAAAAACTCAAAAGTTAATTCTAAACTAAACAATGAATGTGTAAATGAATTTATAAACTAAACTAAACTAAATATAACACAAACATTATTTCTCTAGAACAAGAAAACCAAAGACTATTAATGATATTAGGATTAATTAGGATTAATGCTTAAAAATTAACAAAACAATTTTATATTTTAATTAGTTCGGTTTGTTCGGTTCGGTTCGATTTTGAAGCGTAAAAACCAAAACCGAACCAAACAACTACGGTTCGGTCCGGTTTTTTACATTCCGTTTCGGTTTGTTAGCAGTTCGGTTTTATTTGGTTGCGGTTCGGTTTAATTTGTTTCGGTTTTCGGTTTTCGGTTTTTCGGACTCAGCCCTAATCGTTAAGGTCTAATGAACACATTTTTTATGTCATGAATTGATACAATTCCTAGAATATATTACGGTGTATGTCTTTTGAAGCTCCCATATTTATCCATACAATTCTTTCTTGTGATTTTCTGTTGTTTACAATTGCATTATATTTGAAGCTATGAGTTTCAATGTACGGACAATAATACATGTTAAAGTTTGAAAATTAATCAACATTGAAAATATGTTGACGCTTATGTAGCCACTCGCATAGCTATTTTACTACGAGTAATACATGTGTACCACATATCTATCTCACAAGACATAAATTGGTTTAGATTCGTCGATCAAGGCACCAATTCATATAGCCGGTTAAAACTCCATTGAGCTGGTAAAACCCGGGGTAGATTGTTTTGGTCAAGATTTTGGCTTTAAGCCTTTGTATGATTGTATCTTCTGTCGTAAAAATAGCCTTTTATCTATAAACATTACAATGCTAGTTCATATACTACAAAAAAATGACTCGAATAAAGTAATTTGTAATTAGCAAAAATTAAAAATTAATAAAATAAATTTAATGTTATTACAACAACTTTTTAGTTTGTATATTTATTTATGGGGTTTCTCTTAAATAATACTTCATCCTTATTCTTTTGTTTGTTATACTTTCATTATTGGAATGTATATTAATTTTTACTACGCCTTCCTTTTTCAATAAGTTTTTCCTTTAAAAATATTCAAATATCGTTACTTATTCTATTTTTTTAACCTACATTTCATATTTTCCCACATTTGCTCCTACTTTTTCTACAATATCCATTACTTCTACCACTTTTCTCTTAAGAGCGTCAAATGTGCACAGTTCACGTGTGGCATGAAAAAGATAAACTTGTAAAAATAAATCATCGACATTTCTCTCTCCTTTTTCACAGTTTTATATAATTTTGGTAATAATGTCAACAACAATATCTACATCTAGATATATATTCTTCTTGACATCGTGGAGAACAACTTTTCAAAAACATATAAAATCATTCAAATAAGAAAAGAAATATTTTGCTTACTACTCCCCCCATCCCACTAACAATGGGACAAGAGAGAGTGCGTGACACACAAATTAATAAAAAGTGGTGTATGTGATTGATAATGAATTGATAAAGTAAAAATAAAGTAATAATGATTTAGAGCCACACAAACTTCACATGTGCACCGTGCAGTCGTGCACATTGTGATATTGGAGATGCTCAACATTTTGTGTCAAAAATATGTTGTAGATTTGTAGCACATTGCGATTTTTTATTATGTCACTGTCAGTGACCATTTGCATTCATGCCGCCACTAGTGTCATTGTCTCTGTCACAACTCACAAGTGTCACTTTGAAAAATTTAAACAACTTTTTCGGGTGAGAAACTAGGAAAACTGGAAAAAAAATCGGTAAACTTGTCCAGCGGCCGTAGGATGTTTTCTTTTGGACTGAAATTTGCTGATCTGATCTGGTCTGGTCTGATCTAGTCTGGGAAACGTCTAGTCTCTGTTTATTTTATAACTTCAGAAGTCCGATCTAATATGATCTGATCTGGTCTGATCTGGTCTGATCTGATCTGATACTGAAAACAGTCCAAAAGAAACCATCCATAGTCGGCAATTGTTGCGACTTGCGAGAGGAGATAAGTGAGTAGTTGGGTAGGAATTAATAGTATTAAAAGAAATGTTTATTAAGTAGAAAGAGGTTAGTCACATTACTGGTAAAATGAAATGTGGTAATATTTTAATCATCCCAAATAATTAATAGAGGTAATTTTTTGCCATTTACCCTTTATTAATCGTTGCAAATGTTTATACCTTCAAATGAGCCCTTAGTTCGGACGTTCGGTTCATGTTTCTAATATTTACAAATACACAGGCACACGGGATCTATAAGTTTTAGTTTAATTTTGTCGGATCATCATTACAGTTTAGACACATCAAAGTACTTAATTTGTGCATGGTTGAATTTCCAAACAAACGTCCGGAAAGAACGAATAATAGTATCAAATCAAGGTTTAAATACGTTTTTAGTCCATGCAAATATGACACAATTTGTTTAAAGTCCCTGTAAAATATTTTTCTTGTTTTTCATCTCTGCAATATCCACTATTTTGATTTTAGTCCATCTCTGATTCTGAAACTACTCTACTTACAAAAAAAAGTTATTGTCAGTTACATAAATCTACTAGAAATATTTAAATTCTTCCTTTTATAATTTTTTTGAGGCTAATATGAGAGATAAAATAGCGTAAAACTAAGTATTCACATTTTAAAAATATATATTAAAAACCTTCTAAAAAATAAAATTAAATACTTTTTTAATTAACATGACAAAGAATTAGAGGAGGTCTATTAATA